GGCAGCGGGGGCAGGGACTGGGGCTGCGGCGGCGTCCGACTTTCACGCCATCACAAGAAGCGCCGCCGCTTCATCGGCAGGCGCTGCCACGCCCCCGCCGCCGCAGCCGCATCGCTAAGTGCGCAGGAGAAACGTGAAGGTGCTCCGCTTGCGCTGCCAAATCGGGCTTGGAGGCGGGCCACCCGGTCCCTCGCCTCCCCTGGCCCCGCCACGCGCAACCACTCGGCATTCCGCCCCCAGCACACGCCCCTTGCTGTAAGATGCGGCTCGGAAGCTGCGCTGCTCAACCACCCCTATCCCTCCTTCATACGTTCGGCATAACTGCACACCCCCTTTCCGTTGCCAGGCCCACGTAATCCTTGTTAGCCATAATCGCCGCGCACGCCGTTATCCACACCGGCCACGTCCCGACATACCTGTTTCAACGCCGCCGTTGCCTCCGCCTCTGCGGTGATGACTCCGTCGCACCATGGGAAAATAACGCAAAAAGCTGGCCATAAAACATGTTCTCATAAAACCAATTTTGAGTAATGATATTTTTCTTTGCAGGAATGGAATCCCTCTGTTAAATACCGTTGACCAGAAGACCGTACTTTATCTATCTTCGCCCCAAAGTTAGCTGAAGTTCCACTACTTTCGATACAGATGTGTGCCGTGTGTGAGTCAATGTGTTTAGTACCTTTTTGGAGCTTTTGTGCAGCTACACATTGATCCAAATCAATTTTTGGAAAGTAGAGAATATTCCTGGAGGTATGTAGAATATTTGTATGCCATAAAACATTTTAATTTTTTAGCTATTGTCCCATGAAATTAAGAAAATGTAGCTGCTAATTGCTGCTAACCTAAGTTTGACAATCAAATATCTTCACACTGGAAGGATGAGACCCATCATTTTGATGACTACATAATTTTCAATTGCTCTTCTAATATTGAGAGGGGTGCCTGTACCCAATGACAATTCATTAATAATCAAATAGAATAAGAAGCGGAAGTGTCATCTTTTTTTGACGAGGGGAATTTTTTTCATTACCCATTCTATGTAGTACATCAAAGTGCCAGTACGTGAGAGCTCTCAAAATTACAGTCGCTCATCTAGCAGCAATATTTGCTATGTTTCCAGATGCACAAATACTTTCACCAAAGCACTAAATTTTTTTTTATTATTATTATTATTATTATTATTATTATTATTATTATTATTATTATTATTATTATTGTTGTTGTTGTTGTTGTTGTTGTTATATTTTCAGTCATAAATTGCATTTTATAATCAACAATGCAAAGGAGAATAAACATTCAGTCATCATTGTATTTCTGAGATTAATTTTTAATCCGTTTAATTGTTGTAACGAGCGTTCGGCATCTTAATTTATTTATTATCTGTTCAATATTCAACTTTTGCAGGAGTTTAAATATTTATGCAATAATGTACTGGGAAAATACTTAAGATAAATTAACGTACTATAATAATGAATTCCCTGTCTTCATTCAAAACATCGAAAAATATATTAAATCAAAAAAAATATTTGAAAATTATTTTTTTTAAAACACGAGTGATGATAATATATAATATTTAATGTAAATAATAAATTATTATTTAAAGGGGGACAAATGAAATCTTTTGGAAAATGGGATCGAATTTCATTAGAATTGTAAGTTTAACCAAAATTAAAATATTGAAAAATATATGGAAAAGGTTGTGTTTTTATTGTAGATGTGATCTGTATGGTGAGCAATTGCCATTTCATTTGTTTGCTTTAGTCATAAAAAATGTATATTAAAAAATGTTGCATTGTATTTTTACTTTTTTTTATTTCACAGGGTAAAAGGACTTTTAGGTATTACCACCGTCTTTCATATTTTAAAATATCAAATATTATGTTCTTTAGTGATATTTATAACGATTAGTTGCTAATATCTGATAATATAGTTGCAGGGCAATAAAAATATTAAAAGCAGATGCTCAGAAGAAGATACACTCACGTATCAAAACGCACATCGTAACTTTGTTCTGTGAGTCTATAATTATATTTGAAACCTATATATGGAATTATATCTATATATTATTCTTGAAGATCGGATCGATATTATTTGTAATTATTACTGAATATATTTAAATTGATAATGTGCTAATTGGTATTAAAAATTACTTTCGTTTTATTTACATTACAATTTTGTCCTAACAGAATACAATTTAAGACAACCACCCTCTACCGCAGTGTTTCAGTCTTTAAAAAATTAATTATATTTTTTAATAAAATCCGTTACAATAACCTGACATCTGGGAATACAGTTGTAGAACAACAAATAATATAACAAATAAGATGTTCATCGGAAAACGAACGTATGGAAATTTCGCGAAAAGTGCAAGGCATGCATGTAATTAGTACACATTTGTGATAATTTATTTTACTAATTTATTTTTCCAAATATTTTGGTTTTTGAAAAAACAACTCATAATTTCATGACTTTGCTAGCATAAAACCGAAGTTTTTACGTCCGTCAGAGCCACTGTATACTAATTCAAGTCATATTCAATGAACATTGAATGAAATTAATGAATATTCTGAGTAATGATGAATGGTACGGTAAATAATAGAAACAATATATATATATATATATATA